AAAGACATTTTTGTGGGTTACGAAAAGGGATACTACAGAGTAGTTCTTCCTGCGTCTGATTCAGTGATTCTGACTAAACGTGTCGAATGCACTGGTAGACAAGAGAAAGAAATTCTCCTCTGTTTCCCCACTTATGCCAATGCTGATCAGGATTCTGATAGTGACGACAACAGTGAGAGCTCCACAACAAGTTCTGATGACACAGTCATTGAGGTAGGTTCACACACAATATCCAGGCCTTCACAGGTTCAGGCTGAACTGGAATTGCAAGAACCACTGTTCACTGTTGGGCATGTTTCTCCCAAAAGTCCCAAGGAGGAATCAGCCAGCAAGGAGGATCTGCACCTCATTTGCCGATCTGAGAGAGTCACTAAGGGCGTGCCACCCAAAAGGTGTTCTCAGGAGTTTGCTAACTCAGCTGTGGCATGTATAGCTGTAGGGAACAGCTCAAACCAGGTTCAAGGTTTGCCCAAGGCAGAGACAAAGCCATTCCTGGATGTTGCAGATTGCAACACAATTCTCCCTGGCCGAGGTAGAGCTGAAGCTCTAGTTCCTTGGAAAAGAAATCACCAGAGGTTTCAACTGGTAGATCCAGTGGCAGGTAGTTCCAAAGGTGGAACTGGGACAACGGGATTGTTATGTGTATAACAACTGTTTGTTTTCCTCAATTGATACTGCTTTTGCTTTTACATCTGGTGAGGCTCAAATGGGGGAGGATGTTGGGATTTCAGCCCACACCAATTGCCACGCTGGCAGGAAATAGCAAGAGCTGTTTACATCAGGTGATGTCTCACAGCGTGGGAAGGGAAGTCAGAGACGATTCTCAGGCTGTTCTCAGCGTAACCTTCCTTCTTTCCGCTCTTGGATTAGAGCAGGGTTGAGTCGTGAAACTCAGAGCTGACTGCTCAAGTCATGCAGTCGTTTGTATTGTTTTATGCAGTTTAATAAAGTAGTTTGGATCTACAAAACTGCCTTTTCCCTTCTGATGCTTTTGTCAAGGGAAAGTTGGTATGCATTTCTCATGAGAGTCATGCTGCCTATTTTGTCTGTCTCTGGACTGGAGGAGGATTCCTGAACGGCAGCCAGGGACGGCCACCGGACTTCGCCCTGGAATGCTTTGGGAGGCTGGCATTGCTCCCGGCTGGGCGTCGTTCCAACAGAATACATTTATACGGCTTTTCACCTGGGCGAATTCGCTTATGAATATTAAGGTCGCCACTCCGTCTGAAGCTCTGTCCACATTCCCTACATCTGTGGTTTCCCCCCTGTGTGAGTTAGCTGATGTTTCCTAAGGCCTCCACTTTGACTGAAGCTCTTCCAACACTCCATACAATTAAATGGTTTCTCCCCCGTGTGAGTTCGTTGATGTATTCTAAGTTTTCCACTTTCACTGAAGCTCTTTCCACATTCAATACATTTAAACGGTTTCTCCCCCGTGTGAGTTCGTTGATGTATTCTAAGGGCTCCATTTTCAATGAAGCCCTTTCCACATTCAATGCATTTAAAAGGTTTCTCCCCTGTGTGAGTTCGTTGATGTATTCTGAGGGATCCATTTTGACTGAAGCTCTTTCCACATTCAGTGCATTTAAATGGTTTCTCCCCTGTGTGAGTTCGTTGATGTATTCTGAGGGATCCATTTTCACTGAAGCTCTTTCCACATTCAATACATTTAAATGGTTTCTCCCCTGTGTGAGTTCGTTGATGTATTCTGAGGGATCCATTTACACTGAAGCTCTTTCCACATTCAATACATTTAAATGGTTTCTCCCCCATGTGAGTTTGCTGGTGTTTTCTAAGGTGTCCACTACGACTGAAGCCCTTTCCACATTCAATGCATTTAAATGGTTTCTCCCCAGTGTGAGTTCGTTGATGTATTCTAAGGACTCCATTTTGACTGAAGCTCTTTCCACATTCAATGCATTTAAATGGTTTCTCCCCTGTGTGAGTTCGTTGATGTATTCTGAGGGATCCATTTTCACTGAAGCTCTTTCCACATTCAATACATTTAAATGGTTTCTCCCCTGTGTGAGTTCGTTGATGTATTCTGAGGGATCCATTTTCACTGAAGCTCTTTCCACATTCAATGCATTTATATGGTTTCTCCCCGGTGTGAGTTCGTTGATGTATTCTAAGGTTTCCACTTTGACTGAAGCTCTTTCCACATTCAATACATTTAAATGGTTTCTCCCCAGTGTGAGTTCGTTGATGTATTCTAAATTCTCCATTATGAGTGAAGCTCTTTCCACACTCCATGCATTTATATGGTTTCTCTCCGGTATGAGTTCGTTGGTGTATCCTCATTTTCCCACGGTGACTAAAGCACATTCCACATTCCCTGCATTCTTTGTTCTTCCCAATGAATTCACAGATGGCTCCGTAGAATTCTGACCGTCGTCTTCCTCACCTGTTTGGGGCGGGGAGAGAATCCTGTTAGACTTTTAAGAAAGACAAGAAAGGAACTGAACGCACGTCAATCCCCATGTGCACGTTCTCTTATTTTCACTCCCTCTCCATTTTCAACTATCTCCATGTTCCAAATTTTTAGGAATGAAGATGAGATAATGGCAAGAGAAACCCATAATCACTCCATTCACACTTATGAGAGCACCATCATTGTATAGTTCTACGGTGGAACTGGCTTATAAGACACATCTGTCTTTTTCTTTTCAAGTGAGGAAAGGATCTCAGGCTCCAATAGCAGTCTCTCCTATGAGTAAGAAGTAAAACTGAAGTGTTCTTATGCCACATGTAAGTGTAAAAAAAATTGCAACATATTAGAACATAAGATGATCCTGCTGCATCGGGCAAAGACCCACCTAGTCCAGCATCCTGTTCTCTCAGGGGCCAAGCAGAAGCCTGTGTGAAACCAGCAAACAAGATTTCAGGCCAAGAGCTCTCTGCCCTCCTGTGCTTTCCAGAAACTAGTATTAAGAAGCATTACTGCCTAGGACCGCAAGGGCAGAGCACAGAAATCAGCTTAATCCCTTTTTTCAAGATATCCAAGTTGCTGGCCATCACTGTCTCCTGTGGGATGGAAGTCCATAGATTAACTATGCTTCTGTTTATTCATCTTTTGCAGCCCATAAAGGCTCATAAATGTATTATGGCTTAAGTTTTTGTGAGCTGCAGTCTGACAATGTGGAATCTTGACTAGGAAAGCTGGTGCCACTAGAAACCCGTGAGTCTTTTTGCTGGGTTTTTGTACTTATTTTGAACTTAAGTCTTAATCTGCAAAGGACTGCTTTGAATACGTGGGTGGCCCTTGAATGGAGAAGAACAAGGCACCTTGCCTACATCTGGATCCCCTGGGAGAGGCGGTGGATCCAGGGATTGTGAATGAACAAGACCTCTGCCTTCCGTGCGGTGGGAGTGGGTGGGTTAAAAGTGGGGGAGAGACCTCCCCCTCCTGTCCTTTTTGGAAATAAGAGCTTTTGCCGTGAGTAAACAACTTAGATGGCAAGTTCTCAAGAGAAGCACTTTGGAGCACTGCTTGCTCATGCTATCTGTGTGTGCATGTGTGTCTTTGGAGCTAGAAGACAACATACATCAGTTGTCAAAATTGTGGAAACCTTGGAGAAAGTGTTTTTCTGGCGTTTGATAGCTCATAACAACCGCCTTTTTGGGAGTAAAACCATAAAATTATATATCAGTGGAAAGATACAGTGGTACCTCGGGTTACAGATGCTTCAGGTTACAGACGCTTCAGGTTACAGACTCCACTAACCCAGAAATAGTACCTCAGGTTAAGAACTTTGCTTCAGGATGAGAACAGAAATTGCACAGCGGCGGCGCGGGAGGCCCCATTAGCTAAAGTGGTGCTTCAGGTTAAGAACAGTTTCAGTTTAAGAACGGACCTCCGGAACAAATTAAGTTCTTAAAGTAGAATATAATACAACAACTTTTAGGAAGGATTACAACATAAACAAGCAAGACATTTGTCAGTGTGTTATGTGATTGCTATCAAGTTGGTTGGGGATTTTGTGTGTGTGTGTGTTCTTTCATTTCTTTTGTCCCAGCAGAGCATCAAAACAGCATGCGGAAGGATGAGATAGTATGAGCTACATGCTGTGCTTTATTTTCTAGCTATGCAGAGAGCAAAGAAATACATATCCTCTGCCTGTGAGAGCAGAGAGCAACTGAACAAACGAACAAAGGAAACAGGAAACCACTAACATCACATCCCGTCTCCTTTCCCGTGAGACTGCCAACAGTCTGATGTGGGAATGAAGTTATATGGCTTTAGTAGAAATGTTATAAGGAATTAAGTATAAATAGATTATTAGAGTATTAAAGGAAAAATAAGGTTAGAATATGTTAAGATAATTATAGGATAGAAAACAGAGGAAGATGGAAAGGAACTGCTGAAACAATTAACAGAAGTGGAATACAAAAAGGGAGGTGTGAGGAGGTCGTTGAAATAAGGGAATGAAAGATAAGATATTAAAATTGTTTGATGTGTTTTAAACTGTTTTTATTTTGTTTTGTTAGTTTAATGTGTTAGTTTTATGTAGTGTTTTTGTATTGTATTGTATTGTTCATTTTGTTTTGTAGTTTTTAAATTGTTGGAAAAGTAATAAATATTATTTTTTTAAAAAAAGACTGCCAACAGTCTGGAAGCCCTGGAATGTAAACAGAGTCCTGTGACTCCACGCAGCTGCTCAGTGAGAAACAGAAACTAACAGGGTGGAGGTCAAAACTCAACAGATTCATCACATACCTGAAGCATCTTACGCAAAGAACTAGCCTTGCACTGAAAAAGCATCCCCTCTACTTCTCTTCCCTTCTCTCTGCCCACCGCCCGGCCCAGGACCAGACTTTCTCGCCAAAACCTAATCGCCGTCTTGAGGGACTGTGCTGAGGGGAGCTGCCCTGAGGCGCATTTGTGGGAACGTCCCCCTCCCCTGAATCGTCCCAGGAGCAGGAGGACTGCATAGATTTGGAACAGTGATTTGCAGAGGAACATAGTTCAGAAGGCAGAAGCTGGGAAATACTGGATGGGGAACAGCTTGCAGAAGAAACATTGCGAGAGAGAGTTTACAGATTCACTGTCTCTGGAAAGCATCTGTGGCGTTTGCCCCTAGGATGTGTCAAGGAAAGGGTTAAAATAGGTGTGATGCGGAAGGATGAGATAGTATGAGCTACATTGCTGTGCTTTATTTTCTAGCTACGCAGAGAGCATTCTTACATTTCATGAACTTGTAAAACATAATAAAATTAAATAAATAGCACAAAGAGTTGACTTGGTGATTATGGGCTTCCGGTCTGGATCGTGGAGGAAATGGCGGCGCCCGGGGCTTCGTCCAAGTAAGACAGAGCCTTTAGGGGGATTTCAGGCGACCGAGGGGAGGTTTTAGGGCTAAAAAAGAAAAGCCCCCACAAAACTCTGCAGAAGAGAGGGGCTGCAACGGGGTCCAGCTGAGCCCCAGGTCTCCCGTCAAACCGTCTCCCGCAACTGCAACAGCAGCGGGTGGGGGAGGCGAAGACGATCGAGGAGGGCTGTCGGCTCCAACGCACACCTGAATATCCAAAGTCTAAAAGCCGCCCTCTGAAGTGACAGATCTTCTGTTTTAAGGTAAAATAAAAAGAGGCTTTTGGAGAGGAATTAAAAATTTGGGGCTTAAATTCAATTTGAACTTCAAAGTGAGAAGTATTAAAAATGGAAGCTGTGCTTCCGCTATTCAGGGGAGAACCCTGCAGAGATGTTTTGTGAATAAGATGAAATTAGATGAATGAGATGAAAGCCCCAAAAAATCTACATTACAGCCTCTGAGTGAAAGCAAACGGATTTTTAACCCTAAAATTCCTGCTTTGCTGAAAGAACAGGATTTGTAAATAGTTGCCTCTCAGTTTTGACAAGCTCTGTGATTTGAATATCCAACACCTTGGAAATTTGAGACATCCACCAAAGTCTGGCAGGATTAGACCCTGTGTAGCTGGAGGGGTGGGACGCGGGTGGCGCTGTGGGTAAAACCTCAGCGCCTAGGACTTGCCGATCTCATGGTCGGCGGTTCGAATCCCGCGGCGGGGTGAGCTCCTGTCATTCGGTCCCAGCTCCTGCCCACCTAGCAGTTCGAAAGCACTCTTAAGTGCAAGTAGATAAATAGGTACCACTTTATAGCGTGAAGGTAAACGGCGTTTCCGTGTGTTGCACTGGTGCTGGCTCACCAGAGCAGCTTCGTCATGCTGGCCACGTGACCCGGAAGTGTCTCCGGACAGTGCTGGCCCCCGGCCTCTTAAGTGAGATGGGCGCACAACCCTAGAGTCGGACACAACAGGCCCGTACGGGCAGGGGTACCTTTACCTTTACCTAGCTGAAGGGGTAATAAAAAAGTAAAGTGGCCAACATTTAGAGATTTGTTAATAAAAGAGGAGAAAGGTTTGAAATTTAAAAGTTATGAAAACTTGAAAGATACTTTACAAAGTTGGTTGCATCACAGACAAATTAATGAGCAGTTTAAAGAAGTTAATAAAAGGGATTCAGCTATACTATCTCAAACTTTCAAAAGGAAATTGTGGAGGGAAATACCAAATTATTGAAGAAAGCATGTAACATTTTGCTATACAGAGAGACTTTAGATGAGAAGGTAAAATCAGCCCAAATAAAATGGGCTCCGGATGTTGGGCTTAATATACAGTTGGAGGAATGGGAAAGTTTATGAAAACAAATGTAAAGTTTACAGATTGTATATTATTAGGAGAAAATTACAGTGGTACCTCAGGTTAAGTACTTAATTCGTTCCGGTGGTTCGTTCTTAATCTGAAACTGTTCTTAACCTGAGGTACCACTTTAGCTAATGGGACCTCCTGCTGTTGCTGCGCCGCCAGAGCACGATTTCTGTTCTCATCCTGAAGCAAAGTTCTTAACCTGAGGTACTATTTCTGGGTTAGCGGAGTCTGTAACCTGAAGCGTATGTAACCCGAGGTACCACTGTATTTGAAAATGATATATAGATGGTATATCACACCGGAAAAACTGCAAAATGTATAAAACAGGATCTAAGATATGTTGGAGATGTAAAGAGAAAGATGGTACTTTTTCCCCAGTAAAGAATACAGGGAAATGATATATAATGAACTGAAAAAAATGTTGAAAAAACCCTTTGTTTAAAAACCAGAAACTTTCCTCCTCCGAATTTTAGATCATGATACAAGAGAGGGAAATTGGAGATTGTTTATGTATGCGACAACAGCAGCAAGAATTTTATTAGCACAAGTATGGAAAACAGAGAAAACGCCAACAAAGGAAGAATGGCAAGCCAAGCTTATGGACTACGCGGAACTGGCTAAGCTGACAGAGAGGA